TTTCGCGACATTAATAGTAGTTTACTATTTCATGCACTGGCAACAATATCAGATATATTGCTTTCAATTGCTAGTTATCACTCATATATATGATCAACCTATCAACCATACAGATCAATCCGAATATTTCTATATCTTACATAAAATGAGCGATTGTGATAGCAGTCATCACTGAACCTTAAATGAATGCCTTTTCCATCAAATTTATGCACTATTAAACAATCGAGATTAATGATATTTAAAGTTCTATAAGCAAAAAAATCAATTCAAAATTTTGAGAAACTGACTTTAGATTTGGATTCCTCGACCTCGATTTACTTTCGTCCACCTCTATAAAATATCGTTATTTTCTCAAAAAACCCTTTCTTTGATCTAATAAACTCAATTCAAAATTTCGAGAAACTGACTTCGGACTCGGATTCCCCAACCCCGATTTACTTTTGTCAAGCTTTATAAAATATCGTTATTTTCGCAAAAAAACCCTTTCCTTGACCCTAAAAACTCATTTCAAAATTTCGAGAAACTGACTTCGGACTCGGATTCTCCGACCCCGATTTACTTTTGTCAACCTTTATAATAACGAACTTTAAATGGATGTTTCTTTGACCCTGACACATAAATACATACAAACTATTTTTTTTCATATGACCCTCCATTCAGTCGAGGGAAAAAATATGATTGGTGAATAGCCCACCCTCGAAAACCACAGATTGGCTCATTGGGCCAAGCGAAAAAATATGATTGGTGGATAGCCCGCCCTCGGAAACCCCTAATTGGCGGATTCGCCCAAGCAAAATGACACAGTGCCTGTGTGTAGGTGTGTGGGTGCGGGTGCCAGTGTGGATAAGAAAAAGAGATCCTCACAAAGACACCTACACCCACACCCACCTTCATCCTCCCGATAAATCTTTCAAGCGAAAACTATGATTGACTGGAAGCCAACATTCGAAAACCCCTGATTGACTGGTTCTTTAAACGGAAAAATTATGATTGGTCTATAGCCTAAACTAAAAAACCCCTGATTGACTGGTTCACCCAAGCGAAACAATATGATTGGTGGATAGCCCACACTCGAAAACCCCTGGTTGGCTGA